TGACTTTCTTTCTGATGAACGGCAATGTGGAAGTGTGAGCCAAACAATCCCTTTCTCCCCATCCTTCTCAATCCAAAAAATTCTGAACTCCTTGAAGCAGGCACCCAGATTTCTGTGAGTTCAAGGCCATTCTGGTCTACAGAGTAAGTTACAGGATGGATCCAAAAAGACACAGAGAAACCCTGTTTAAAAAGAAGAAAACAAAACAATACAAAACTTACCAAAAGTGTCTGCATAAAAATATGGGGTTGAAGGGCCACTGAGATGGCTTGATGGTTAAAATCTCTTCCTGATACTTGAGCAATCATTCCTGGAAGAAGCCAGTGGACTCCTGAAAGTTGTCCTCTGACCTCCACACGTGTACCGTGGCATGTGCGCACCCACAATCTCAAACACACACAATAATAAAATTAAAATTAAATAATGAAGACAAAACAACAACAAAGTGTTTGCTGTGATTGATGCTTCACCAGGAGGGAGAGAGGACAAATCACAGACGGGACAGACCCAGTTTGGAAGGGAGATTTAGCTGCCCAATAACTGGGTAATAACAGGTTCTAGGGCCTCTTCTGGCTGCTGCAGTACCAGGAATGAGGACACCAGGTGAAGGGAAAACCATCTACATCAAATAATAAAATTTAAAACACCAACTTTATTAACAGAAACAGCAAAAGGGGCAAATAAAATTAAACAGAATAAATACACTGTACAGTCAACCCTCAAATCTGGTATCTTGGCCCCCTAAGACAGTGACCGCAAATGCCGGGTCCCTCAGGGTTTAGGAGGCCATGTATATAGTAGACAAGACCTCTGACTAGTCACCCAGGAAACCCGATACAGAACACCCACCTAACACATACCTAGTCCTCACCTTCACTGAACAGTCAGCTGAGCACAGCTAAACTCCTGCTCTAAGCTTGCCAGACATCCCTATGAAGTCCCAAAGCCCCTAGACTGTCCCAGATACTTCGTTAACATTCTGGACCAACCGTTCCCCTGAGGTTCAGAACAGGCAATCACTGGATCTTCATATTCCCAGGGGATCTGGTGCAATGAAGGCTGCCTAAGTATCAGTGCCTCAGATATTCAGGATTCAAAAAGAAGGCTCAGGAGAAGAATCTCAAAGGTCCCTCAGAATCTGAATACGTTTGACAAACAGCCTCTCTCCTGGCTCCCTGCTCCATTCCTCTGGGGTGTCACTCTGCCAGGGCAGGTAGGAGTGCAGTCTGAAGCCTCCCTTATGCAAGGTGCAGTCAGCAGGCACCAGTTCTAACCCTAGCCCTGAGCACTCAAGGATGCTAAGTCTCCAGCGGTCAAGGTTCTGTATTTGAGGTCCAATCTCTAGGTGGGCCCGCAACAAGGCTTTAGTGTCCAGCAACACCTGCCAGCGATTGACCTGGGTCCTCACAGTCCATAAAGGAGTCATTGACAGCAAATAGCAGACGGTCCCAGAGCCACACAACACCACGTTGTAATCCAGTTTTCCCAACCACGTTTCTACTACCTTTTCCATGGGCCAGAGGGGGCTCAGCTCCAACAATACAGGTTGCTCAGAAGATGGGTCCTCATCGAAAATATCCCAGAAGGACAGAGGGGGGATGATGCACTGGTGGGGGCAGGGACAGAAGCAACCTAATCTCCAGCGAAGGGCCTGCATCCACTCATCACCCTCAGCGCCGGGGTCCAGGGGTACAGCTTCCTCAGGTTTCAGCTCTGTCCCTACAGTGCCTGGACTCGGAAAGTCAGGACTTGAATGGTCACCGATGGCATCAGATAGATGCCCTTGATCTTCGGCACAGATTGTCCCTGACCGCTCCTCTGGCCCAGATTCTTCCTTCGGTTGAGATTCTTCTTCAGGCTGAGATTCTTCCTCTGGCTTAAATCCTGACTCTGAGAGTTCCTGAGACTCATCCTCCATTGGTTCCTCTTCCCAGGAAATCATCTCCAGCAATATTCTATTAATATGGAAAGCTGCCTTGAAGCAAGCAAAGCAGATCTTCATCTGGTCTCCGTGGACAAGCTGGTATAGCCATTCCACATAGAGGCAGGACATGCCCTTGGCCCCACGGCGAACGTTGCCTGGGGGACACATGGCCAAACAGCTGCCTGTAGCTGATGGACGGAGAGAGGAAGACTTGATTGATGGTCTCAGGATCTGGAGACCGCGTGATGCTAGGGAGAGGCGGGAAAAGCCGAGAATGGGAGAAACAGGAGAAAATGGGGTGCAGTAGGGGCTGTAGGGTAGTGTGGGTTCCGGGGTATCGGTGGGAGAACTTGGTGCCAATTCAACGGATACCTTCTTGGAGAAGTGGACAGTCTTGAGATTCCAGAAACGTCTCCAGATTCACACTTGCTCTAATGTCTGGGGAGCTAGAAAGGCAAGGAAAGAATGAATCTTGGTGCCCCCTGGAGGCTGACTGCTGAGTTCACTGAAGGGAGAGGCCTGGGGTCAGGTCCCCTGGTTCTCACTGTTAACTTGAACAGACTGGGGAAGCACTTAACCACAGACCCAGCTACAGCAGCTTCCTCTGGGTTCCTGACCACAACCTCACACATGGGCGTGGCCAGTCAATGAAGGAGGCCCATCTAGACCGATATCCACCCTCTCGGTGCAGGCGATCCCACCAATCCAGTTCCCACCACCACTTCAGCCCCTACCCTTCCTTGCCTTCCTGGCTGAGCTCCCAGTCTGCCTACCAATGGACACTGACTGAACCAAGGCTCCCCCACCACAGCACCAGGACCTAATAAAGGGCCAACACTCCTAATGCTTCAGTTATTTACTTGACTTCCTTGAGCCCCAAAATGCAGGAAGCAAAGGCACTGACTGAGTGACCCTGCTCCCCTTTCCCCCGGTATGCATGTGGTCTGGCGCCCGCTCACAGGAGGCATGCTTCCCTGCTTGCACCCAAGTGTCCCTCTACCTCCTGTAGGCAGCCTCGAGGTGCCCTATGTCCCTGGGTCACTGCCCCTTTGAGGCACATGAAGACCAGAGCCTGCGGCCTCCCTTGATTGGATAGGAGGATTTCTTCTTCCCTGTCTCTTTAGGAAAATTTTTTAAAACTTGTGAAACTATTCACTGGACTCCACTGGGTTTTAAACACATTTTCCCCTCTCTGGGTCTTTTCTTTCTTAAACAACTCTTGAAAGGATTTTTCCGCAGTTTATTTGTAACTCTTTTGGGACTTCTAGAAAAACCAGGCAGAAAATATAGGGATCTCATTGTCCTTTCTCTTGAGTTCGCCCTTCGCTAAGATCTCTTTATTTAAATCTGGGAGCAGCACTGTGGGTGTTGTCACCTCAAGCAGGTGCTCACTGTCTAGTCTAGACATCCCCCGGTTAGGACACGGGGATGATGACATGCCCCCATCAACACAGGGCCTGCGGGACCATTTCACTCTCTCTACATATGGCCCTTGGCACTCTGTTCTTACCAGGCCCTAGAATCACTGGTATGCCCTCTGCAACTGTTCTTCCCTATCCAAGATGTCACATGCTGACATCAAGCAACAAGAAACTACCTCAGTTTCCTTCCTTGGGAACACACAGCTAGGTTTCCCAGGTGCCATAATACTCCATTAACTGGACACACCTCTGTTTATCCACTCACCTCCTGAAGAATACCATGCTGCTCTCTGGGAGTTTGACAAGGAAAACTGCTATGTTCAGTTGTGAGCTTGACAGATACCTGGAAGTCTTCACAGGCCCTGTGAGGTCTTCTCTCCTTCTCCTCGCCCCTCTCCCTTATCAACCTTGTGTCTGTGAGCTCTTGAACTGCTCAGCTGTCTCCTCTTCAGCTTCAACTAGCCAGCTGTCTCTCCTTGGTCTTGTCTTTGGGCTTTACTGTTCAACTGCCAACACCTGTGGGGTTAGATGAGCCAATGTCCCCATATTATTGTGTATTTGAACACTTAATTCCCAGTGGAACTGCTTTGGGGACGTTAGGGGGATGCACGCTTACTGTAGGAAGTGTGTCACTGGCGGTGGCCTTTGAACCTTTAAGAGTTCTTAACCGCACCTGCTTCCAGTTTGCTTTCTCATCTTTGTGTGTGTAGCTGGAGATGCATTCTCTCGCCATCCTGTTCTGCCCATCCCTTATCCCTAACCCACTGCCTTCTCCTCTGTCAATTTGGTCTATTACAGAAAATAACTTTTTCCTATTGTGAGTACTCTTGGTCATGATATTTCATCTCAGCAACCAAAAAGAAGTTAACATACCACTGCTGCCATGCCCCCACTTCTGGGCTGCTTTCCTCATGTTACCAACTCAGCCTGCACTACTAAAGTAGATAAGAAACAATCACTCCCCAGGTGCTTGAAAACCTGGGGAGAAGGCTCAGTTGGTAAAGCATTTCCTTTGCACCCGTTGGTTCCCAGAACCCATGCAAAAAAATTCTGAGCGTGGTGGCAAGTGCTTGAAATGCCAACACTGTGGGGTGGAGGGCAAAGACAGAAGGATCTCTGGGGTTCATGTCTGCTAGAAACAGCAAGATCCATGTTCAGAGACCCTGTGTCAAACCAGATCATGGAGAATGATGAAGACACCTGATGTTGTCTTCTGGCATCCCTTCATAAATGAATATGCAAACATACATAGACATACATATAATATAAAGAAATTTAAAAGCTGGGTGTGGCAGTACATGTCTTTTCGTTCCAACATTTGGGAGTCAAATCTCGGTCTCTGTTTCTTTGAGACAAGTCTGGTCTATATTGCAAGTTCCAGGTCAACCAGGGCTAGATAGTGAAACCCAATCTCTGAGAGAGAGAAAGGAGAGGAGAGAAGAGGAGAGGAGAGGAGAGAGAGAGACATTTTATTGGGCCCAATGCTATAATTCAAAAGAGGCACACAGCATGTTAAATAAGCCTCAACAATCTGTTTATTTAGCCAGAGAAGCAGTGTTTGGAATATCACTTGTTGACTCCCATGTTAATGAAAGTATTTGTTTCAACCAATCATAGTGCATCTCACATACAAATGAGAGTTTGTTTTAGCCAATCATGTCTTTGTTTTTTGGCACTAATCACATCACAGCAGTCTCTCTGCTAGACCATCAGAGGAACTGCTTCTCCTCTGGCTTGGGCAGAAATGGCTACAGGGTCATGGGGAGTTCACCAAGGCTCCTGAGAGCCAAGGGTCCCCTACAAATTGTTGAAACCACCCTTGCTAAAGCGGCACCTTGAGGAGCCAGGCTGCCATCTATGATCACTGCAGCGTTTTCAAGGCGTTTATGCTGCCTCACGTGTAGTTGGCTGGGAACTTGACTGACAGTCCTTTTGCTCAAAGCGGTCAGAATCCAACAGCTGAATATTGCTAAATACAATTGTCCACTCGATCCCCAACATGTTCATTTATTTACTGGAAAATAAGCTCCCCAGGCAGAGCTTACAGTAAAGGTCTTGATGAGCCTGTCATTAACACTAACTTTTAAAAGGTTTTAACAACGTTTAACACCTTGTTAAGTTCTTCAGTGAGAGGTGGATCCCCCGTATCTGTCTTGGAACCTTAAATTTCCTTTATACACTATTAATTCTTAGAGTTCTTTGCTTTCTGTCTTTCTTCTTTTTAGATGAACTCTATGTGCCCTAGGCTGGCTTCCAATACACTGTGTGTACCTTGAATTCCTGATTTTTTTTTTTTTTGCCTCCATGACTTGAATCTTGGTATCACACACACACACATAATCATGTTCAGGTATTTAGTGCTGGAGAGAACCCAGGACTCTGTGCACACTAGACAAGCATTCTACCAGCTAAGCTACATTCCCAGTCTCTTGTTCTTAGATGCCTTTGTTGACTTGCCTCTTGTCTTAGTCTGCCTGGCTCTAACAATAAAATATCAAGTTTGGGCAGCTTAAAGACCAGAGATGCATTTTGTTACTGCTCTGCTGGTGGGGGACCAAGGTCAGGGTGCCTTGAGACAGACCAGAGGGACCTGCCTTCCCTGGGGCACTGGGGAGGATTTAACACTAGCGAACATTGGTCAATATTACTAAGTTTGTTCACCAGGAATAAAATTGTTAGCTATGTGTCAAGCTTTTTCTAAGTGTTTGGCATGGCATCAGATATTAAATGCTTTCTCCAAGTGGCTGAAGTTGCCAAGAAGAGCAGAAATTGGAGAGAAACCTCCCTTGGTCATGCAGGCTTGATTGGGTTCTTGACTAGAAACCTGATAGGACCACCCTCCTGTCAGCCTGGCTGCTGTAGACAAGGTCACTCTGAGGACAGATCAGGTGCTGCAGAGACCTTCACAATACCTGCTGAAGACATGATTCAGTCACAGCATCTCCAGAGCCTGCACTTGTCTGGTAAAGTAACACCTCAGCTAGACAAGCTTCTGTGCCCACTCAATTTTACTTAAACTATTTTCACATTTTAGGTGAGAGAAAACTACCACTTCATCGATGACTCTGAGAAGGCATGAGACTACTAAAATCAGAGTTCTTTATTTCAAACCTTTGCCGTACCCCTCCTTCCCATACAAACAGGCTGTGTTGCTGACTTTTCAAGTCAGGTGGGAGACACTTCCTGTGCTGTCCCTCATGGTTCAGACGAGTGTTAGTGTACAGTGTTGAGGGAAACATCTCCCCAGTGGAAGTGTTGCGGCTCTGAGGGGGAAGCTATCCTGGCTGTGAGGGTCAAACTGCACAACAAACTTCACTCAAGAGATTTATTGGGAAAGACACAGATGGTGGCTGCCTGTGCTCCGCAGAGAAGCAGCAGGGATCTGAGCAGGAGGCAAGTTGTATAAAAGGTTTCTTTGGGCAGAGTTTTGCAGGGTAGAGATTTCCACAGTGGGATTGGTAGGATTTCAAGTTCTGGGATTGGTGGGTTTGACAGCTTTTCAAATCCAGAATTTGGGTTGAACCTTTTACCTTCCAACAAGACCCAACAAGTCCAACAGTGCTTCTCTTCAGGAATATTTGTGAGTGTTCATGTGTCACCTGGTCTTCTTTGCTTTCTTCTAAACTTGTTCTGGTCAGATGTTCATGAGGGAAATCATGACTTGCTAATAAGTCCCTTTGCTATGCTCATGTGTGGGTAGATAGAGGATGGTCTATCTTCATTTCTGTGGTTATGATAAAATGCACT